TCATCAACAAAATTTCATCTGTGAAGAGCTTCTTTTATATCTCATTGTCCAAAAAAAAAACTATATTATCTTTTACTGATGCTTTTGTATTTCAAAAAAAAAATTACAAAGCCAATATATACAAAAGATGTTATTTGCACACTGATCATGAAATAAATTTTAGGATTTTCAAAAACCCGAAAACCGAACCAATCCAAACCGAAAAAAATTGGATTGGATCGGATCGGATTTGAAAAAAAATCCAAACCGAATAGATGATTACATAATCAAATCGAAAAGATTGGATCAGATGATTTTTGCTTCAAAAACCGATCCAATCCAGACCGCGAACACCCCTAGTTGCTGGGATTGAATGTTCGGAGAGTGATTCTCAGAGGCAATTCTTGGCACCCGGATCAACATCTCACGGAAACTCGTTTGCATTTCTTGAAATCGAGCCTCCATTATTGTCGATAGCTGTTCGATCCTCTGATTGTTGTGTTCACGATACTGCAAAAATTCTTCTGCAAGTTCTAGAATCTTCATGTTGACTATGCAATCTTGAATCCATAGTGTACGAAAGTACCAAGGATACAGAGAAGGTCTTTGTAACTGAATAACAAACTCAAGTCTTTCTTATTTCATCCATAATTTTTTTGTTACACCAATAGCTAATATTTATGCTTACACATTTATTTCCCACATCAGCTAACTAAACCCCTATCATTACACCTTTCCTTGCCACATAGGCTACCAATACTAATTCTACCGAACTATTAATTGCAATACAACAAGACCCCTTTATTTTAATTGCTATAATCCTTTGCCCAACTCGGTTCTAGCTAAACGTCTCTAATCTGCTCTTCGTACTTTTGTATCACTTTTTTTTTTTTGGTAAAAAACTTTTGTATCACTTTAATAGTGATGACCCAAGATTTTTTGTGATGGGTGGCGAAAATAAAATACCAAAGTTACAAGTCTTGTTAAGAATGATAAGATGTACTAACTATTATAAATATATTTTTAGGGAGAAGCTAACTATTAGCGCTAATAATTTATTATTATTAAAAAATATTATTTTATACATATAATAATAAAATAATTAAAGTTTAGGAGGGGCGATTGCCAATACTTGCCCCTCTTTTGGTCCACCTCTACCTTTTAAGAAGATGAAATAAGAAAATAAAAAAAAGATTAATATTTTGACAAAACCGAAAAGATCTGTATAATTTTGATTATTTGTTTTAAATTTTCATGTCTTGCGAAAAATACAGAGCTAAGAGCTGATTCAACTTTGTCCCACTAGACAAGGCTTATACATATATTAAAAGTGAGTAGATTATCATTTTAGGATGGTTGGTAATTCTAATCATTAATTTACTATTTGACTTTACTAAGACTAATTCAATTCAAATTAAAAGAGTTAAATAACGAATTATAACCCAAAGAAAAGTAAACAAAAAAGTAATAACCAAATTAAAATACTAAATAAAGACCGTGAACAAAATACCAAATGTTCTCCATTGACAAGTAAGGATTCGATTTCTCTAATTTCGCTTAATATATCTTCGATTTATTTTAATTTAATTCTCTTTTTTTTTTTGGATATTAGGGAATTACAAACAAACAAACCAACCTACTTAAGGATCTTTGAAGGTATTAGCACACCCCAATAAATCCTTCTCAACAAACCTATAACAACCTAAAGGAATATTAGGCAATAAAACTAACACCCAAGAATTATGGTCCACCTTAGAAGCCAAGAAGTTAGCAACTTCATTCCCACTCCTCCTCGTATATGATAGCATAACCTCTCATTGCCTATCAATCAGCTCCTTGACCCTATTTATCATATTGCAGAACGGGTGGACATAAGGACAGATTCCTTGAATCAATTGAAGAGCCTCAGATGAATCACCTTCCAAGTGAACTTGCTTAAAACCATGCTCCCAAGCAACTTGAAGCCCCATTAACATCCCCCATAATTCAGCCTTCAAGGCATTACCTTGACCAGCCTTTTTCATAAAACCAACTAGCCATTTTCCATCATTGTCGCGAAGAACTCCCCCACAACCACATTTGGATCCATCTAGTGAACATGCCACATCCGTATTGATCTTGATCCAACCTTTTAGGGGAGGCTCCCACTGCATCAGCGTGTCCTCCTTATTCCTCACTCTAATCTCTGCCATATCTAGAGCGTCTTCAGCATGTACCACATTCTGCACATAGACCCTCACTTTATGACAAAAGCTTTCAGGAGAGCAAATAATCTTCCTAAAAACCAAGTTGTTCCTAGCTTGCCACAACATCCAACAAGTGATACCAAAGGTAAGTCTCCAAGCCTGGTCCTGATTATCCTTCCTCCCTCTACCCAAATTAAATTGAATCCACTCCATAAAATTGCCAGCAAAGAAGCCACCAAAGCTAGCTTTATCAATTAATAAGGACCAAACCTGTCTAGCCCAAAAGCAATCCCTCATCACATGACAACAATCTTCACAAGGAAGCATGCATCTGGGGCATTTAGCATCATCTCCCATATGTCTACATCTCCTTTGCTCATTTGTTAACAGCTTGTTACCAATTAAGAGCCATAAAAAATGTTTAATCCTCTCTGGACCCCTCCACTTCCAAGCAAGATCCCAATAGCTGTCCTGGTTCTTAATACTTGGATATTCATTTCTGATGAGATGGTAAGCAGATTTCACAGAAAAAAGGCCATTTCTTGAACAATTCCAGATAACCCTATCCTCCTCATCTCCTTCCTTTGGTGCTTCAATCTGAGCAATGGACTCACAAACCTCTTCAGGAATACACATACTGAATTTATCCCAATCCCAATCGCCATCTTGATTAACACAGTGGGCAACCTTCCAGCATTTATCCTCTTCAGGAACAGGGCTAGTAACTTTATCAATTAATCTGCCAATGTCAGGAATCCACCAATCCAGCCAGAAACTAGTTTGCTTGCCATTCCCCATCATAATTCTTGTACCTGCCAGGACATGGTTCCAGGAGGAACTTATACCCTTCCACATGTTGCTAGCATTAGTAGTCCTAGGCATCTTTGGCATAAGGCAATCCTCCATTTTATATTTACTTCTCAGCACTCTAGCCCATAAAGATTCCTTTTTGGTCATTAATCCAAAACCAACCTTCATGATGAAAGCTTGGTTAAACGATTGTAGATCCCTCAAACCAACTCCACCACATTGCTTATTAGAACACATACTCTCCCGGTTAACCAAATGGACACCTCTTTTCTCTTTTGATGAACCCCATATGAATCCACGGGTACACTTTTCTATTTCTCCACACACAGATTTGGGTAACTAGGCTGTTTGCATAGCATAGGTGGGCATAACAAAGAGCACTGACTTAGCCAAAGTAAGTCTCCCAGCTAGAGACAAAGTTTTAACACTCCAAGCATACAGTCTATTTTTACCCGATCCAACACATGACCAAAGGACTTTTTACTCACTCTATCATGGTTTAGCAAGACCCCCAAATATTTTCCCAGGTTAGGGGGTACTGCTTATACCTAAGCAATCACTAATCTCTTTAGTTCTTCCAAAGCTAACATTGTTAGAGAAGAAAACCCTGGTCTTCTCCAAATTAATTTTCTGCCCAGAACTCATAGAAAAAATTCTAAGCACCTGATTGATAACTTGAGCCTGCTCCATGGAAGCTTCAGCACAAAGAATGATGTCATCAGCAAATAGCAGGTGCGATATTGGTGGACCTGTTTTTCTAAGAATAATAGGCTTCCAGGCTTTCACATCATTAGCTACTTGGATAAGGTGGGCAAGCCTTTCAACACACAAGACAAATAAGTAAGGAGATAATGGATCTCCTTGTCTTATTCCTTGGGAGGGCTTGAAGTACTTGGTGGGCTTCCCATTCCACAGCACATTTAACTCACTAGTTCCAACACAGCTATCAATAAGAGATACCAGACTTCCAGGAAGACCCAATTCCATTAGAGTATCATGGATAAAATCCCAATTCAGCCTATCATAGGTTTTCTCAAGCTCAACTTTAATCATCATCCAACCTTGCTTGCCTTTTTTCCTTCTCATTGAGTGGATAATCTCCTGAGAAACCAGTATGTTATCAGCACTCTGCCTACCCTTTACAAAAGAGCACTGATTTGGGGCAACAAGACTGGGCATCAGGTTCCTTAATCTGTCAGCAACCACCTTAGTGACAATCTTATAAGCAACATTACATAGGCTTATTGGTCTAAAATCTCTCATGCACTCAGGATTATCTATTTTTGGGATTAGACAAAGATGAGTTTGATTTATCAACTGAATTCTCCTAGGATCTTCAAAAATACTCCTAATTAGCTCACCAACAGATTTGCCAACCAGGTGCCATTGAGATTGAAAAAAAGCAGCATTTAGGCCATCTGGGCCAGGGGCCTTAAATCTACCCATCTTGAACGCAATACTCTTGATCTCCACATCATCAGGGGTCTTAGCTAGATTCTGCAGATCCTGAACCTCCAATTTAGGAAAGGTCCCTTTGATAGGAAAATCTTCAAAAGAACTATCTTCCTCCAAAAAAAGATTCTCGAAATACTTCACAGCCGTTTCAATCATACCTTCAGTGTCAACTGTCCATTCTCCAATGTCATTTTTAATAGCACAAATTTTATTTCTCCTCCTTCTAGCTATGGTAGTTGAGTGAAAGAATCTTGAATTTCGATCACCAAATCTCAGCCATTTGACTCTGGATCTCTGGAACCAAGTCAATTCTTCTCTTAATAAAATGGTCTCCAATTCTTTCCATAGGTCTCTTTGCAATCTCTCAAGGTCTCTGTCATACCCAGCCTCCAGCTTCCAATCCAAACCCTGTATTCTGGCATAAAGTCTATGTTTCTGTCTCATCTCCTCTTTAAACACCTCCTGATGCCATTTAGAAGCTGTAATCTCAAAGTCTCTCCTAGCCACAATCCATTCAACATTACTGCCCCAACAGTTTTTTACAATATTGCTAAAATCAGCATTTGTGAGCTAGGCAGCAAGAAATTTAAATTGAATTTCACCCCTAGACTCCTGGCTAGACTGAGAACAGCTGACAAGAATTGGCCTATGATCAGAGCTGAAATAAGGTAAATGAGCTACCACTTTATTCGGCCAAACAACATTCCACTCTTCATTTGCACAAGCTCTATCAACCCTCTCTTGTAATTTTCCCCTCCTCCAAGTGAAACTAGGATCTTTAAACCCAACATCAGCAATCCTACAATCCATAAGGCAGTCCTGCATATCCTGGATACTCTTCCAGCACACATCCAGACCCTCATCCTTTTCATGTTGTCTTAAAACAGAATTGAAATCCCCAAGCAGGATCCAAGGGCCAACAACAGAATCAGAAATATCCACCAAGTCCTCCCAAAGTTTAATTTTCTCCACTCTCCTCGGGCTACCATAGACAAAGGTAGCTAACTCCATCCTTTCTTCCTCAATATAGTGAATTCTAGTATGTACATACTGGTGATGGGTACGAATAACCTCCACCTCAACATCTCTATCATCCCATAAGATCCAAATACCACCCATAAATCCAACAGCCTCATGTTTAAAAAACTTAGAGAAACCAAGCTTTTTAACAATAGCATCACCTCTATCCCCCTGAATTCTAGTTTCTAACAAAGCAAAAACTTTTATTTTAAACCTATATTTAATATCCCTAATCAAAGCAGGAAAACCTTTTTTAACTACTCTCTATAATTCCATGAGCAAAGATTCATAGTCATCAACATCAACATCAACATCAACAACACCTTTATCCCAAATTAATTGGGGTCGGTGGTAGATGAACCCACATGAAAGATACAAAACGGTTGAAAAAAAGTAAAAAAAAATAAAAAATAAAAAATAAATAAATAAATAAATAAAAATACACAAATAAAATAATAAAATAAAATAAAATGAAATAAAAATATATGTATATATAAATAAATAAAAGTAAAAAAGAAAGGGACAAGAAGAAGTGGGGGAAATGAAGGGGAAAATGACTAAAAAAGGACCATCTGGAACATAGGAGTAACAACGAGTCTAACCCTCCACCATACTTGTAGCTTTTCTCCATTCCTTTCTAAGACATACTGTCCGCCAATCTATATCCCACTCCATTAAATCTTGTTTTACTACTTTCCCCCAAGTAAGCTTCGGCCTACCTCTGCCTCTTTTTGTGTTTAGCTCTTGGTAACAAACTTCTGTTCTTACAGGAGCATCCATGGGTCTTCTCATCACGTGCCCAAACCACCTCAATCTATGTTCTCTCATCTTCTCGGCTACCGGTACTACTCCAACCTTTCGTCGAATATCTTCATTTCTTATCTTATCCCTTGTGTACCCACACATCCTCCCACACATCCACCTTAACATCCTCATCTCTGCTACTCCCATCTTATGCTCATGTTGCCTATGTGCTGGCCAGCATTCCGCTCCATATAGCATTGCCGGTCGTACTGCCGTTTTATAGAATTTTCCTTTTAACTTCAGGGGAATTTTGCGGTCACACAAAAATGCAGATGCACTACGCCATTTCATCCACCCTGCTCTGATTCTGTGATTTACATCCTCATCAATCTCTCCACCATTTTGTAAAATGGAGCCCAAGTATTTAAAAGCATTTTTTTTGGGTACCTCTTGACCATTTAGATGCACAGGTTCTTGGTCCTCATCTTGTACCAGAGAAAACTCACACTTCAGATACTCAGTCTTGCTTCGACTTAATGTGAATCCTCTGGATTCCAATGTGCTTCTCCACAATTCAAGTTTTCTATTAACACCCTCCTTGCTCTCATCAATAAGCACAATATCGTCTGCAAAAAGCATACACCATGGCACTTCCTCTTGAATATCTTTTGTTAGTTCATCCATAACTAAGGCAAATAGGTAAGGACTTAGAGCCGACCCTTGGTGTACACCTACCGTGATAGGAAAATAACTTGATGATCCGTTACAAGCTTTTACACATGTAGTAGCCCCATCATACATATCCTTGATTGCCTTTACATACTTTAATGGAACCTTTTTCTTCTCCAGGACCCACCATAAAACTTTCCTTGGAACCCTATCGTATGTTTTCTCAAGGTCTATGAACACCATATGCAAGTCCTTCTTCTTTTCTCGGTATCTTTCCATTAGTTGTCGCATCAAGAAAATGGCTTCCATGGTACATCTTCCTGGCATAAATCCAAATTGATTTACAGAAACCTTGGTATCTCTCCTCAAGCGATGTTCAATAACCCTCTCCCACAGCTTCATAGTATGACTCATTAGCTTAATGCCTCTATAGTTTGAACAATTCTGTATATCTCCCTTGTTTTTGTAGATAGGCACAATCATACTTTTCCTCCATACATCAGGCATCTTATTCGTCTGGAGAATCTTATTAAAAAGATTGGTCAACCATTTTATTGCCACATCCCCCATGCCTCTCCACACTTCAATAGGGACACCATCAGGCCCCAAGGCTTTATTAGTCTTCATCCTCTTTAAAGCCTCCTTAACTTCATGTGTATTAATTCTGCGTACAAATCTTCTATTCATATCATCATACGCGTCCTCTAAGTCCACCTCGCTTGTATTTCCATCCCCATTAAACAGCTTGTTGAAGTATTTCAACCATCTTTCATTTACATCTTCATCTCTCACCAGAAGTTTTTGATTTTCATCCTTGATGCATCTAACTTGAGTGAGGTCTTTACTTTTCTTATCCCTTATCCTTGCAAGTTTATAAATACCTCTTTCACCATCCTAGCTCCCAAGACTTTTATACAACTCGTCGAAAACCTTGCCTCTCGCTTCTCGCACTGCTTTCTTTGCATTTTTTCTCGCCAGTCTAAACTTTTGCAGGTTCTCTTCATTGGGACTTTTATGCAAAGATCTAAAGCACTCCTTCTTATGTTTAATTGCCTCTTGCACCTCTCCATTCCACCACCATGTTTCCTTTGTATGAAATCCATTTCCTTTGCTTTCTCCCAACACCCTCCTTCCCAAATTTTGAATACACTTAGCCATCTCATTCCATATTGCATTTACTCCTCCATCAAACTCCCAAGGTCCTTCGTGCAACATTCTATCATTGAACTCTCTCTCTTTTCCCTCCTTAAGCTTCCACCACCTTATCCTTGGATTCTGAGCCCTCTTCTTCATTGTACGTACTTTGTTGAACCGAACATCCAAGACTACCAGCTTATGTTGTGTAGCAACACACTCTCCAGGGTAGACCTTACATTCGACACAAGAAGTTCTATCTTCTCTTCTAGCCAGAAAGAAATCAATCTGACTACGATTATGGCCACTATGATAAGTGATCAGGTGTGACTCCCTTTTTTGAAAAAAGGTGTTCACTAACATCAAATCGTAGGCTAGTGCAACATTCAAGATATCTTCTCCAGTCTCGTTTCTCGTCCCATAGCCAAAACCTCCATGGATTCTATCAAAACCTCCATTGCTTTTACCAACATGACCATTTAGATCTCCTCCTATGAAAATCTTCTCCTCTCGAGGTATTCCCCTCAAAACCTCCTCCAAGTCTTCCCAAAATTGGCTTTTATCAGTTGGTTGCAATCCAATTTGGGGTGCATACACACTGAGGATATTCAGGATTAAGTCACCCACAACAAGCTTAACCAGAATAATCCTGTCGCCTTTCCTTTTGACGTCCACAACTTTATCTCTGAAACTTTTGTCGATCATAATTCCAACACCATTTCGACTCTTGTTCGTACCTGTGTACCATAACTTGAAACCAGTTCCATCCACTTACTTGGCCTTTTCTCTAGCCCACTTAGTTTCTTGCAAACAAACAATATTCACTTTCCTTCTAGCAAAAACATCTGCCAACTCCCTCAATTTACCCGTTAAGGTTCCTATGTTCCAGCTTCCCAATCTCATCCTTAACCCCTGGGCTGTGCTTTCCCGCCACGCTCGCCCATCTGCGTGTTGGGACCCTGGCATACTTCTCACCAAATCCGGGTGAAGACCTGGCGCCTTGCCTTGGGGCAAGGACCCTAGCCCACTTTTCACTACACCTCGGGCCCGATGCAGCGCCTTGCCTTGTGGCAAGGACCCTAGCCCATTTTTCGCTACACCCGGGGCCCGGTGCAACGCGTCGCTATGAAGGGTACGCCCCAACGAAAAATCATATAGGTTCATCACATAAAAATATAGCTGTTTTTTACGGTCGGTTCGCAACACCTGACGCCAACCCTCCTCCTTTATCCTGGCTTGGGACCGGCCATGCATGCAAGCACACATGGGCAGAGTTCAAAGATTCATAGTCATGAATGAAAATAAAAGAATCAGTACCTCAACCACCAAGGATTGAATCATCAAGTACCTACAAGAGTCCTGGTCCCTCCTGGACCTGAGATCCCCTGATCACCTTCTGTCCCATTCAGAACAAAGCCTCCAGTCTTCACAGGAATGGTGTTTTCCTCCCCTCTGCCTTTACCATTGACTAGATTATTAGGATCCTGAGTAGGTTGCAACACTCCCCCTTCTGACCCCTTGCTTCTAGAAATCACCTTTTGCTTTCCCAAACTCGAAGAATTGGGAGGATGATTCTCAGTACCCTGACTTCTATTCACAGTCCCTTTATTAGTGACTTTATTTTTCTGAACACCATTAGGACCCAAAGTGCCTCCTTTAAAAGGGCCAGGCTTCATTCCACCTTTTTTCTGCTTATCTGACCCTGAAGACAGGATACTAGGAACAGGTCCCTTAGCTTTTCTATCACTACCACTTCCTCCATCAACCTTACTCATGACCACTTCCTTCTTATCACCTATTTCAGGCACTATATCAGGGACCACATCCTGCATAGGGCTATCTGTATACACAGCCTCCCCAGCAATTCCCCCAACAACAGCAGTATCCTTCTGATCCTCCAACTTCTGGTTTCCTTCTTTATTAGTTGTAGAGTTAACCGGAGCAACCCTCATCCTCCTCCCTTTACCAGGTTTCTGGACTACCATCCAAGATCCGAAAGCCTCATCAACTTTCTGTTTCTCTTCAACTTTTTCCTTCATTTCAACATCCTGGTCCCTCACACCAGGAGCATCAGTCTCAACACTGATTTTCTGTCCACCAATGCTAGGACATAAGTCCTTCCTATGCCCATACATACCACAGGCAAAGCAAATCATATGTAACCCCTCATAGCCAACTTGCAATACCCTCTCTCCAATTTTGAACTTCGATAGGAAACTTTTCCTAAAATCCACCTCAACACAGATACGGGCAAATCTGGCCCTTTCTGTTACATCCTTATCTCCATACTCATTCCTTCTTATAGAATTCTTATCTATCTTACGTGTTCTCCCAAATATACTACCAATTTTCCAAAGATTTTTGGTAGTGTAGAGCTCCAAGGGCAGCCCTGGTATTCTGATCCAAACAGCCAGCTTCTTCAACTGATCATCATACGGGTTAAATAAAGGCCTCCATCTTTGCACAGTTAGATAATGATCAGCAACTATCCATAGTCCTTCATGGAGCACATGATTGTAGTCACTGTCTTCCTGGAATCTAACCACCAGATACCCATTATCCATGTCAATAACCTCATACACACCCATCAGGTTCCACATTCTGATCACACGAGCCATTAGAAACCTAGCTCCCATTCTCTTCCCCAGCAGCTTAATAATCAGCGCTCTCCTCCATTGTTTACAATCCTCTTTGTGCTGCTCTCTCGACAACTTGAACGAAGGGCATAAAGGATCCTCCACAGCATCAACCGATCCTTCATCCAGCATATCCTCCTCTTCTTCTTCCCTTCTCTGCCTAGTCATCCAGTCCTCTTATTCATCATCCGACATATCATCAGCTCCATTGAGCCTCAGCAGCTTATCTCTGTAAGAGACAAATCTCCGCCCCTGCCCACTGCTTTTCCCAGAGGAACCACCTGACAGTGGCGCAGCTTCATCAGCAAGAGCCTTTCCAGGGATCTGAAGATTACTCGAGAGATCCTCATTTCCCTTAACATTTAGCTTCGGAGATCCAAGATCCCCTCCTTGCATGCGATCATCCATCACATCATCTTGGACCTCCAAGCCCTTAGGCTTTTTTATGCTCCGATTCAGATTATCTTCTTCCTCCGTCGACGCCGATCGTGTTTCTCCCATGACACTCAGGAACTTTCAGAGAGAAAAAGTTTAGCGCGTGAGATTCACGCCTCAATATTGGTGCGTAACTTTCTTTTTTAATTTAATTCTCTTAAACTAATAACAATCCAGCTCATCTAAGTCAATTGAGATTTAATTTCTTGACATTCTAACTATTTAATTTAAATTATTACATATTATAACTAATAAAATATAAAACTAATTGACTAATTAGAGCAAATAAATACATCAATAGAAAGTAATGATATCAATATCAACAAAATAAAATGCAAATGAACAAACGAAAAATATCATTGTAGGCCAAAACAACGATTAAAATTACTTCAGCACACAAGCGAAATTTCCAACCCCCTTCCTGAAATGAATTCAACTTAAGAGGGTGGGGATTAATCATAAGGGTGACCCATTTGAATTGTATTATTCGATTTTTATTATAAAATTATTGAGAAAATTTGTACACGCATGCACAAGCGTGCACAGACACTGACACATATATAACAAAGAAATTTTCATAATATTTATATTTATTTTAAAAAAATTACACTTAAAAAATAAAATTTAAATCTTAGTGTGTTTTATGAAATTATTTGGATTTTGATATTTATTATATTTTAATGAATTAATTTAAACTTATAATTTGATATATTTTAAAAATTATATTTATACATTAAAAAAATTAATCATTTATAAATTTTTATTGTAGTATTTTTATTTTTATTTATATTATTAAAAAATAAAAGCCAAACTTGAAGGCTTAGAGATTAGACATTTTAAAATGAGTCCCTGGCCTTATTTTTAAAGAGATCTTTTAATGAGTCAAAGTATGTATTATTCTTAAAACAAATCAAGTCAAGTCATGTCAAAGGTAGGTAATCCTAACAAATTGTCGGGTTCATTTAGACCCCCTAATCATCACTCTATATTTATATCTTGAAGATTCCTTTGTTGTTTTTCTATTTTAGAGCAATTGTATGTTTTTCATAATATTATATAGTGCAATTTTGTATCCATCTCCACTGAGATAAGTTGTCAGTGTCACCTTCATATTAGTAAAAGGACACATAGTTTCAACATGCTTTGTGAAGCAAGTCCCTTTCTTCCATAATTTTTTTTGAATAAACCATAAGTATCCTCCACAAGAGGTAATCCTATTCGAGACGGGTCCAAAATTAAGGCTTTAAACCTTTCACAAAGATGGTACTGGAGAGGATCGTATACATGCTATCACTCCCCCTCCACCTGTTCACCTCCAATGCGCCAACTGAGCTACCATTATTGGTTCTTCTTCCATAATTTTATTCAATGATGTGTTTGTCTTAGTGTAATTCTTTTGCACCTCACCATAATTTTGTTTCCATAGTCTATTGCCTCAACCAAATGAGCCACAAGTTGACTTCGTTCCTTTTATGCATTGTTATAAAGTAAAAGAGAGAAAATGAAAAATATTGATTTCATTGATTAGGTAATTAATTTGTACAATGAGACTCTTATATAAAATAACAGGAAAAGATTCTAGAGTATCATTGAAATACTAAACTACTCTTATACCTAATATCTAATACTCCCCCTCAAGATGGAGAGTGAACAAAGAGAACTTCCATCTTGAACAAGAAAAATCAAGAAAACATAATAGCAAAATAAAAAAAAAAATCCTAAATGAGGAAAAAAAATCTTTAGTGCGTTGGAATAAGCTTTAAGGAAATTAATGGTGCCGATATGCATATAAGCAAAGGCAACAGTGCTGAGATGGACATCGGTGAACTAAACAATGTCAAGATGAACATCAGCTAAATAAAATGGTGCCAAAATGGACATCAGCAATAATGCTGGAATAACAGCAACACAAGAAATCCAATAACATGACTAAACTGGCCAGAATACAAGCCACAAGCCAACAACGGTACATCAGAAAAATCAAAAACAAAAAAAAAAGAAAAAAAATATGAATTACCCAAGCGAAAATTCGCGAACTGGAACAACAAATGCAACAGTATTGCAAAAACATCCATGAGCTCCACGAATCTTCATTAACCTGCAAAATAAGAAGAGAATATAACAAATAGACAGATCTGGAATAGATCAGAAGTAAAAGAAGACACGACCGAAGAGCAGTCACAGAAGAAGAAACGCAAATCGAAAAACTTCAATGATCTGTAATGGAAGAGACAAGACGCTGTCGGAGAAGAAGGAGACACAGCCAGAAAAGAAGATGTGGTCGGAAATGATGACCGGAGAAGGAGACACGACCGGAAAAGAGAAGGACACGGTCGGAAGAAGAGAAAAATGGCCAGAGGAGATAAAAATGCTGAACTATATGTCCACGATCTAGAACAGAAATGGCCGGAGAATGAGACACGGTCGGAGATGATAACCGGAGAAGGAGACGCGACCGGAGATGATGACCGAAGAAGGAGATGTGGCCAAAGATGATGACTAGAAAAGAAAGCGCACCCTAGACAAGGTCGGAAGAAGGAGATGCCAGAAAAAAAAAAACCATATTTGAGATGGGGAAAAATGAATCAGATCTGTGAAATCTAAAGGGAGAGGACGCCTGATCTTGGAATGCCGAGAAGGTAGAAAGAAAAAGAACAAACCAAAAAAAGAATTGAATCATATAGAAGAAAAAAATGATGCAACGGAAAACCCCTCATGGAGGGTGGTATCGCTTTGATACCATGTTAGAAATGTGGAAGAGAGAAAATAAGGAAAAATTTGATTTCATTAATTAGTTAGTTAATTTGTACAATGAGACTCTCATATAAAAGAGTAAGGAAAATTCTAGAGTATCATTGAAATACTAAACTACCGTTATACCTAATATCTAATATGCATCTTGCATGATGTTAAAGGTTGTATTCAGCTCCTCTTTCTCACAAAAATAAGTCCCAACAAGCCCTTCTCTGCTTGTGTCGACCACACATAAGAGTTTGAACCAGGACTATTTTTCCCTTGAATTCTAATCCTTTTTGCCTTGATTAGCAGTTAGAAAATCTGCATCTAATTTTATCATTTGTCCTAATCCAATCCATTCTGTAGCAAAAGTCTAGTATAACATATCCTCTTTGATCCTCTATCCTGTTCAACACGAGCTTCTTTGGGTTTATATAATTCAAACGTTCTCAGACAATGATCACCATCAATGTTTTCCTATTCATGCTGGCTACAATCCCTTTCCAAGGCCAAACAAACCTTTCATTTCGTTTGGGTTGTTCTTTGGCTATTTCGAACTCAGGCTTAATATTCTACAATTGGCAACGGTAGATTTTATGATAGAATTGTCACAAGACTCAGAAAGCATCCATTATGGAAAGTCAATTTAAAAATTTTAAGCCCAATTGATTTGTTCAGTTCAGCCTAACTTAGCCTAAAAATTAGCTGGTTCGATATGGGCGTGCCCATAATAGATTAAGCTAGCCCAATGGCTCTTTTTTTATTTTCGAATAATTGTATGAACCAACCAGGGAGTGTCTAGCTTCCACCGAGCTTCACCACCACCTCGAGAGTGCGGGTTCAAGTGTACTTGTGTGTCGGTTCCTCATATCATGCCACCTTTCTCTTCTTGAGATTTTTTCATGAAGTTTATTTTGGTGTTATTAACCAAATATTCGTGGGTTCAAAGCTAGTTTGAAATTTTATTAATCCTCATATTTTTGGTGTTATTAATGCGGTGTACTTGCTGAGTTTCCTGGGTTGAGAGTTTGAAATTTTGTAAAACGTTTTTTTGCATTAATTGTTTGTTTCCTCATTTGCGGTTTGTTGTCTTACGAAGGAAGTGTGAAAAATTGGAACAAGTTGAAATTTGGATTGAAAAGTTGAAATTATTTACAAAAAAGAAGAAGAAAATATGTTGAAATTTGTGATAGTTAGCATTTTTGTATGAACAATTTGTTTTGTCTTCAGTTTAGCTGCCAATTATGATATGCTTGGAGATGTGATTGTTTTCTCCATTATTCTAAAATTTATCTTTAGTTCTTAAAATTCCAAAAGAATAAACTCAGTGTCTACTTTTGAGCACTAGTTATATCTTATACGATCTCTAGTGGTTCAAGACTTTGCATAATAGAAAATATTTCTTGAATTTTTTTAAAAAGTAAGTTCGTAACTCAATGCGTTACACTTACAGCCCACAAAAAGTTGAGTTGGGCTAAGAAATTATTGACCCGCATCTAAATTTGACTGACCCAGCTTTTAAACGAATTAGCACATAAATCTGGAGATGTCAAAATAGGCTGAGATCACAAGCCATCCTCCAAATCCCTATATTTGGATTAGGACTTTTTTGTGGTAGGAACTATTTTTAACCCTAATCTATATTGTACCGATATCGACACGAGACACAGAACACGATACGATACGATACTTCAATACTTAATTTAAAAAATGTTAAATTTTGACACGTTAGAATATGTTTTAACATTAAGTAATATTTCTAATTTATGTAGTGTATATTATATTTAATATTCAATAATTTAAGAAAAATAAAACTGAACTTAGAATATTCATTAATTTTGCAAAGAAACGTAAGATGTAAATATTTACTATCATATTTTTAAAGTGAAAATCTCTTATACACTCCAGTAAAATTTATTCGGTATTCATTTTTAATTTTTATTACATTAGTTTGGTACAACATCGATCAAATTTTTTCATGATATGTAATAAAAATA